TTTCTGAGGAAGGGTCACCAGACCCGAAACGTTAACTCTGTTTTTTCCTTCACCGATGCTGCCAGACCTGCTGAGCTTTTCCAGCAACTTTGTTTTTGTTCCTGATTTGCAGCTTCCACAGCTCTTTTGGTTTTTATTGAGCAGTGAGAGTTAGTTTGTTAAGATACAGCATTCAAAAATAGCATGTTAGTAAATCAACAAATATAGAAATAAACACAGTTTAACAAATTATGCTCAGTTATGGAAATGACCCCATTCAGATAGAAACCTAATGATTCAGATGTATGCTTGTGATGCCAAGGCATACAATAGGCCAAGTGCTGGAAAATAGGCTTAGAAAACTTAGGTGGTTGCTTTTGACCAGCATAGATTCAATGGGCTGAAAGGCCTTCTTCTGTGCTGTAGACCTCTATGACCCTTTAGCATTTTAGGCATTTTTTTTTAAGACTTGTGAAAAATGTCAAGAGGATCTGTCAAAGGGTCTATTCAAGAGAACCTGTCAATGGAAGCTATCAAGCTGTTAAGGTTTTAAAAGGCCTACTGTTTAAATCTTTTTTAACAAAAATGCCTGGAGTTTTTGTTTAGTAGTAATTGCCTGCTATTTCACTCTGTTGACATAAGTTTGAGTGATTTCATTACTGGATTACTGCTGCATGATTGACTTTTTTGACCATCCATTATTTCAGTCGGATGCCTGCCATTTCAGTTTGTTTGACAGCTCTAAGTGGTTATAGACTCTAAAATGGGACTATCAATTAATTCCATTACCTGTTCTCTTATTGTGCACTTACATTTGATGTTTGCTATTGTAAAGTTTTTTTATGTTGAAAGAATATAAATGTTAGAAATGGATTTTTGTGATTTGAGAACACTTTATGCACTTAGACCTTTATTTGTCTCACCTCTGCAAGGATCCTGACATATGCCAATAGTGGATATTGATGAGTGTCATGGTAGGTGTAGGGACCAAAGGTGGTGGATGGGATGGGCATAAATTGGTTTGAGTTATCGTGAAGTTCAACTGTAAAGGGCCATTAGGGTGGTGTGAGGGGAAGAGATTGCAATGCAGGGTAGACAGGTTTGGGAGGGGTGGTGACAAATGTTAGCATGGAGGATGAGTGGTCATGGATGGGTAGATGGAGAGACAGACCTTGACATTGTGCTGGATGAATGCATCAAGTGACATGTAGTGGTGTGGATAGGAAGGGAGTGAGGTCTGGAGGGATTTTTCGCACTTCATACTTTTTAGCTTTGGACACTGGAGCCAGAGCCCCAACGCAGTCATTATGGCTAGCCCACCCAGCTTCCTCCTCAGTCCTGTGGTTGCCCGCCCTGAATTCTAAACCAGTTGTCTGCCTGCCCCAGGTTAATTATCGAATATCCTATTATTTGATTGCATTCCAATGCTACAATGTAGTCATTTGATGAAGACCAGGTGAAGCCAGGCTGTGGTGTTCTCAATAGATATATGGAGCAGTGATGAATGCTAAGTTTTTGCCCTCTCACTTAACCTATCTATAGCCCTCTGCAGACTCTGTCATCCTGACCACTTGCCTTCCCACTTATTTTTGTGTCACCCACACACTTAGCTATAGTGCATTCACTTTTCTCACCCTGTCATGAATATATTTTGTAAATAATTGTGTTCTCAGCACTGATTCCTGTGTCACTCCACTGGTTACAGGTTGCCATCCTGAAAATGTCCCTCTTATACAACTCTCTGCCTTCTATTAGTTAGCGAATCCTTGAAACCATGCTAATACAATACCTTCAAAACCATAGGCTCTTGTTAATTAGGTCAATGTATGGCACCTTAACAAATACCCTCTGAAAATCCAAATATATTAAATCAACTGCTTTCCTTGTATCTATCCTGCTTGTTACCTCTTCAAAGAATTCTAGAAAATTTTGCCAGACATGATTTTCCCTTCATAAAGCCTGACTCTGCTTGATTTTATTATGCATTTCTAAATGCTATGCTATTACATCCTTTATAACAGACCCTAACTTTTTACTAATAACAGATGTTAAGATAACAGGTCTATAGTTACCTGTGTTGTTTTTATTTGTTTCCTTCACTATTTAGATAAAGGTATTACATTGACAATTTTCCAATCTTCTTTTCCAGAATTGAAGGATATCTAGAAGATTACAGTAGCTACCTTGTTTTAATATCCAGAGGTAATAGGTCCAGGGGGGACTTATCGGTCATTTAGCCCCATTAGTTTCCCTAGCATACTTTGGTAGAGATAGAAATTATAATTTTTTACCCTCCTCCTTTTTGCCTCTTGAAAATTTGGTAATTTTGGGATGCGAATAGTGTTTCTACTGTGAAGATTGATGCAAAGTATTTATTCAACAACTCCACCATTTTCTGATTTCCCATTATTATTTCCCCAGCCTTATTGTATAAGGTGTCTACCTTCACTTTGTCTTCTGGGATCCCTTTTTATATATTTAAAGAAACTTTTGCTGTGTGTCTTGATATATTTATTACTTTGAGCAGAGAAGATCTGTGGGGAGCCTGATAGAGATATGTAAGATTGACGGGCATGAACAGAATAAAAAGCAGCTGTTCCCCTCAATTGAAGAGTCAGTAACAAGGGGGCATAGCTTTAAAGTGAAAGGCAGGAGATTTAGAGGGGGTTTGAGGAAAACCTTTTCACCCAGTCGGTGGTGCTGGTCTAGAATGCATTGTCTAGCAAGGTAAATGAGACGGGAAACCTCACAACCTTTTAAAAACTACTTGGATGAGTGCTTGAAATACAATAACATTCAAGGCTATGGATCTTGTATGGGAAAGTGGGACTATTGTAGGTAGTAGTATACTTTTGACAGTACAGATTTAATGTCCTGAAGGGCCTCTTTTGTACTGTATGATGCTACTTGCAAGTTTATCCTCAGTTTATTTTCTCCCTATTTATTATTTTGGCTGTCCTTTTGTTGGTTTTTAAAACTTTCCTAGTCCTTTGGTTTACCACTAATCTTTACCATATTGTATTTCTTTTCAAGTTGATATCAATCCTTAACTTCCTTGGATAGCCGTGGTTGGCTTATTCCTTTCCATGAATCCACCTTCCTCACTGGATAAAGTCTTTGCTGTGAGCCATGAACTAATTTCTTGAACGTCTGCAATTGTTCCTCAACCACCTTTGCTGCTAAATCCCTTCTCCAGTCCATTCTATCTGCACTGCCCTTATTCCTTTGTAATTACCTGACAAATTTTTTAGAACATTATTATTAACATAAAACAAGATACTGCAAAATCTTCAATGTGAGTGTTTTGAAATAGCTTTAGACAAATATGTCAAAATATACATTTCAGAATGTTCTCGAAATATCAGAATTTTCAACTTTTTTCCCCTATAAACCTTGGATTCATAGATGTGTAACTAATCAACAAAAGAGGAAATAAGTGAATGCAATTTACCGACTGTTGGACCAGCAATTTCATGTGTAATTTTTCTGTTATCATAAATGACTGCGGCACAGTTGCACAAAGGAAAACTATCCCTTCCTGTCCTACATGACCTGACTATAGCTGTTAAAATGCTTAAAAAATTCCTCCTCCTCCAATGCCTCCCTATTGTCATCCAGCCCAGGGGGAACTGCACAAGCCAGATTCCATGCATATCTATCTAATCATTTCCAGAGAATATTCTGAATGATTTCCCTTCTTATTTGCACATGCCTGGTTCCATAAATACTTGTAATGGCTTCTCTTCCTACTCTTGGATCATTACCTCTCGTAGTAAATGTAAGGGACACAGAAGCTGAGTGTATCTCGGAATTCAACTGGTTAATTTTTTTCAAGTTCAATTTTAGGGTAGAAATCAGATTCTGACCTGGAACAAACAGCTTTTTAAGTAAGTTAAAATAACCTAGTTAAAGAGGAAGCTGCCAGACAATGGCAGTAATCTATCAATCACATGAAATCTGTTTCCTGAATAAGATACTGAAAACAAAAGATGCTGGAAATCACTGCGGGTCAGGCAGCATCCATGAATAGAAAACAAGCTAATGTTTAGAGTCTGATGAAGTGTCATCTAGACTCGAAACATTAGCTTGCATTCTCTCTGTGGATGCTACCTGACCTGCTGTGATCTTCAGCATTTTTGTTTTCAGTACAGATTCCAGCATCTGCAGCAATTTGCTCCTCCCTGAATAAGGTGTTGATTACTGTAGTAGGAACTTAAGCTGGAAAGTGACTTATTAGAGGGAAAGTATGACTGCCAGGCAATCTATGAAAAATGGGCAGTAGTGCAAGAGTCCCCTAGAGTTCTGCACACAAATCAACTTTCCATTTTTGCAAGCTAACAGGGGCATTGGTTCCTCGGGGGAATGCAGTCAGAGTGCACAAGTGGCTTAGTTGTCCAGAAGGGGGATGAAAAAGAAGTAATAATGACAGGAAAACAGATAGGTTTTCGGTGGCCGTAAATGTGACTCCAGGATGGTATATTTTCTCACTGGTGCAGGGGTCAAAAATGTCACAGACCAGCTGTAGGACATTTGTTCCTTAGAGAGTGAACAGTTGGAACTCATGGCCCATGTTGATATCAATGACTTGGGTAGAAAGAGGCATGTAGTCCTGCAACCAGAATTTAGAGAGTTAGGTAGAAATTTAGGAAGCAGGACCTCCCTCCATTATAGTTCGGAAGAATAAGAGGTGACCTTATTGAAATATACAAGATTTTAAAGGGGATTTAAAAGGTGGATGCTGCGAGGCTTACTGTATGAGTTGCAGAGTTTGGACAGAAAATGAGGAGGAATTTCTTCTTTGAGGATAATGAATCTGTGGAATTGTTTACCACAGAGGGCTGTAGAGGCCGGGTTGTTAAACATATTAAAGGCTGAGTTAGACAGATTTTTAATCAGTAAAGGAATCAAAGATTGTGAGGAAAAGCAGAAAAGTGAAGTTGAAGATTATCAGATTAGCCAAAGTTTCATTGAATGGCAGAGCAGATTCAAATGGGGCAAATGCCCTACCACCGCTCCTATGTCATATGGCCAAACGTGATAAACCCTGGATTACTCCCAGTGCCATGTGAAAATGAGTATGGAAATACTAGGTTAAGATAGATGACTTTGTGCCTGGAAAGATGGTGCAGGATGCAGGGCATTGGATTTCTGTGGAGCAAAGCACTTGAACAAGCCAACGGGTGCACCTGAACAGAGCTGGGATGTGTTCCTCATAGACTCTTTTGCTAATGCTGTAGGGATGGCTTTAAACAAACTTATTAAGAGAGAGATTTACACAAGAATACCAGTGTTCGCAAAATACTTGGAAAGACAGTTAGCCCTAACATGTAGTAAAACATTGCAAGGCAGAATGTAATGAAGTCTATATCAGGGTTACTATGCAAGTATGAGTGCAGGAAGTATAACAAATACGACTGAGAGTTACAGGTGCAGATTGTCATACGGAAATAGTTTATGGTGATCACAGAGACTTGGCTCAAGGAAGGCTAGGACTTTTTGTTAAGTATTTCTGAGTACAAGATGTTCAGAAAAATCAGGAAAGAAATGAGGTGGAGAATATTGGTGAAGGAAAGCATTGCAGTGCTGGAGAAAGAGGATGTCTCAGAGGCTATAAAGACAGAATCAACTTTACTGAAGCTAAGGAACAAAGCGGGTCCAATTACATTGCTCAGTGTAGTCTATAGATTACCAAGTAGTGAGAAGGATGTAGAAGGACGAATCTGCAGGGAAATTACAGAAATGCCTACCTTTTGAGTAGTTTATAATAGAGGACTTACACTACCAATATCCCATTCAGTGTTTGGGTAATCAAAGGGACAGCAAGGAGCAAATGTTCATGGATAATGTTCAAGTGAATTTCCGAAAACAGTATGTGTTCAGACCAACAAGAAAGGATGCATTGTTGGATCTGGCTTTTGGGAATAAGGAGAGCCAAATGGAGCAAATGCCAGTGGAGGAACATTTAGGAGATAGTGATCATTGTCATTCTCCGCGATTATCCTAAACCATGCAATGGTCAATTCACAGAAAGAAAAATTAATCAGCAGAGAGTGGACTTCAGTGGGGCAGGAGTGGAGCTGGGCATGAAAGATTGATAGGAAGAGCAGTAATGGAGCATTGGGCTACCTGTTAAAGAGGAGATGGTTTGGATACAATCAAAGTATATTGGCTCTAAAGGGAAAGGTAAGGCAAATAAATCCAGAGCTCCCTGGATGACAAAGGAAATAAAAACAAAAATGCTTGTGACAGGTAGAAAATACAACCGAGAACTAAAAGGATTTGGGTGGGAAGTAAAAAAAGAGCTCAGTTCTGAGGAAGGGTCACCAGACCCGAAATGTTAACTCTGTTTTTTCCTTCACAGATACTGCCAGACCTACTGACCTTTTCCAGCAACTTTGTTTTTGTAGCTATTTTTATCTCTGTTTTGAAAAAGAGTAATTTTGGACTCAAAATATCAACCCTGTTACTGCCTCCACAGATGCTACCAGAACTGCTGAGTTTCTACAACAATTTCTGTTTTTGTTTCTGATTTCCAGCATCCTGAGTTCTTGGTTTTATTATCACAAGGAATCTGTGCTCATTGAATTCTGGTCTGTAGAGCATCCCCTATTTGAAATGCTCAACTATTGTTTGCTGTGTCTTCAGCTGCCAACATCCTAAGCTTCAGAATTTCTTACCTAAAATTCCCTTGACTTTCTGCTTTTTCCTCCCTTACATTAATGCACATTTAAAGTCGAGCTCTTTGGCCAAGCTTGTGATGTCTAGCCTAATATCACCATATGAGGTTCTTTTATAACTGTCTTTTGATGTACCTTAGGATAGCTTATTAAGGATGCAATTTAAATGTAAGTGTTTGTTGTCATCACAATCTTATTGAGACTTCTTCTACATTTCAGATAAGCTTGCCCATAAGAATGGAAGCAAAGTAGATTTTATGTTGAAACAAACTTAAGGACCACAAGCATCAGTAAAAATAATAAAACCACAAGGATTGAAAATCTTTGCAGTGCCTGAAACCCAAAGACAGCTTATTTATGATAAACAAAAGTTGCTTTTGTGATGAGGCCAAAGACCTTTCCAGCCACTTCATATACTGGAAACAGCCGTCAGAGACTGCAGGAAATTCGGGAGGGGTTGAAACAACCTCATAAACCTTCAGGCCAGGCTTTAAATGTTGGCTCCAACAATGAAACCCCGCTAGACCTGAAAGCCATAGTTGCAAAGGATGCTACCAGACAACAACAAATGCGACCTGTCCCAAAATTTGGGCCTCATCAGAAAGCTCTCCGAGAAATCAGAAACTCTCTGATGCCATTCGCAAATGAGTCTGGTTCATCTGCCAGTGTTGAAGTAAACAGACAAATGCTACAAGAGTTGGTGAATGCTGGATGTGATCAGGCAAGTCACCTAAATATTTTAATATTTTTGCTGTATGTCATTCAATTTATAAGTTTGTGTGTCTTCAAGGTTTTGATTCCTGCTTGGAAAAATACTGACCCCTAAATTTTCACGAGGTCAGTTGCTTATTAATGGTGTATATTGGCTGTGTTTGCAGCATTAAGAATAAAAAGAACAGGACTCGGAAATGCTAGATCCCAGCCCAGATTTTGAACTCCTATCAGAGTCTACCTGGGTGGAACTCAGAAATCACAAACCATACTTGATGCTGACAGAGGGGGCATGGATAGGAGGAAATGAATTCTGACACTAGTTTTGTCAAAGATGTCCTGCCTTCTATACGGTGAGGGTGAACCCAACATAAAGGTCAACTGGATGTTGAATTGGTTGGGACAAGCAGGATGTTGTCTGTCATCACTTGGTACTACTTTGTGCTATGTCCTGACTCTGTATGATTGTGAAATTTGCACGTGTGGATCCACTGCCACGCAGTGTTATTCATGTACTCATTTGATTTTCTTTACTCTTAATTACTGCCTGCTGAGAGAAAACTTATGTATTAATATTCCAGAATTTCACATGCACCAAAATTAATCTTTCCTGATTGTGAGGTTCTGGAATCCTGTCAGCTGCTTTTGATTTTTTTAAAAATTGACAGTATTGTATATTATTCTAAGTCTGTTTTAGATTTTCTTTGTAATTGAAATGAAGTTTAAAAATTAGGCATGTTTGCTGAACCTTGATTCTAGATAGTGTATTGGTGTCTTTTTTTCTATTCCTAATTAATAATAACAGTTCTATTTCATATGCCTTCCTATACATATTTTTGACGTTTATAGAACTTGGGTTAAAATGTAAAATAACTGCTATTAAAGATTAAAATCAGTATGGTTTTAATTATTTAATTGAAATGTGAAGATAAAATGACTTTTGCCTTACAGTAACAAAATATATATATATTGTACTTTGGGAAAATACTCTTCTTGTTGGCACATTTTGTTTTTTAGTTGAGTGTAAAATATTGCGTTTTTTTTATAAGAGATCTTTTGTACGTAGTTTTTATATATTCACTCTTCCCCCACTGGATAGAAAATGGATTGATGCTATTGCAAAACAGATTGCTTGATAAGCACTTTAAAAGTAAGCGAGGATATACAACAAAGCTGTTCAAGTTTGAATTGCAAGACAATCATTTTATTGTAAGTTATAGTTGGCTGTTAGATTTCTTTCCAAACATGTATTGTTTTGGGGGTAAAAGAAAAGGAATAGAAATTCAATTTTTTAAAAATCTGCCATAGTTTGTAGGTATTGTTGGTAAGGTCAGCAAGACATTTATTGAATGTTGTTGCTTGGAAAGATGGTGGAGCCATCTTCTTGAACCGTTGCAGTTCATGAGATGTTGGTAGAACCACAATGCTGTTTTGCGAGGAAGTTCCAGGATTTGGATGCAGCAACTATGAAGGAACGGTGATGTAGTTACAGGTTAGGATGGTGTGTGACTTGGAAGGGAACGATCAGATTGTGGTGTTCCCATACATTGACTGCCCTTCTCATTTTAGATGCTAGGCTCTGGCAAGCTTGTGTCGAAGGAGCCTTGATAAGGTATTGCAGTGTATTTTTTTAACTTGGTGCATACTACTGCAATGGTGGAGGGATGAATGGTTAAGGTGCTCAATGAGGTGGCAGTCAAGCAGGCTGCTTTGTCCTGGATGATGTTGAGTATTTTGAATTCTGTTGAGCTGTGCTCAATGGTGTATGGCGAATATAACATCACTGATGATCTGTGCCCAGTGGGGATAGTTAGAGCAATGAAATGGAAATTAGCTGGACTGAGGTGTGCTGCTTTTTGTGCAGGACAGGGCATATCTGAGGAAGTTTCCATTTTTGCTGCGTAGATCTCAGAGCTGTAATTGTGTTGAAACAGTTTTGCTAAGGATGCTGCTAAATCTCTATAGCACTATTCTGTACTCTGTAGCAAGGATGTTGTCAGGCCTTGGTCTATGCTGCATCTGTTGCTTTCAATTCTTTCTTGAGGTCACGTGGAATGAATTGAATTAACTGAAGAATGGCATCAGTGATGCTGGGAATCTCGAGTGGAAGCCGAGTTGCATATTCACTCAGCGCTTCTGGCTGAAAATGGTTGCAAATACTTCAGTCTTGTTTTTTGCAATGATGTACTGAGCCCTTCCAAATCATTAAGAATGGGAATATCTGTGGAACCACCTCCTTCAAATGACCTTTCCTGGCCCCATCCCCGCCTCTTCGACCTGTTTGTTTCCTCTCCACCTATCCTCTCCTCTATCCCTCTTCTATCCGCCTCCCACTCTCTCCCTATTTATTTCAAAACCCCCTTCCCCTCCCCCTTTTCTGATGAAGGGTCGAGGCCCGAAACGTCAGCCTCTCTGCTCCTATGATGCTGCTTGGCCTGCTGTGTTCATCCAGCCCTGCACCTTGTTGTCTCCTTCAAATAGTGACCCCTTCTCCCGCTTCCAACATACCCCCTCCTCCTGTACACCACCCCAAGGCCTCCTACCCTCCCTTGACCTCTTCATCTCCAACTGCTGTCGAGACATCAATCGCCTCAACCTCTCCACCCCTCTCACCCACTCCAGCCTCTCCCCCGCAGAACGTGCAGCCCTCCGCTCCCTCCACTCCAATCCCAACCTCACCATAAAACCCGCGGACAAGGGAGGCGCAGTTGTAGTATGGCGCACTGACCTCAACATCGCCAAGGCCAGACGCCAACTCTCCGACACCTCCTCCTACCGCCCCCTTGATCATGACCCCACCCCTGAGCACCAAGCCATCATCTCCCAAACCATCCACAACCTCATCACCTCAGGTGACCTCCCACCCACGGCCTCCAACCTCATCGTTCCCCAACCCTGCACTGCCCGCTTCTATCTCCTTCGCAAAATCCACAAACCTGAATGCCCTGGTCGACCCATTGTCTCCGCCTGCGCCTGCCCCACCGAACTTATCTCCAACTATCTGGACTCCATTTTCTCCCCCTTGGTCCAGGAACTCCCTACCTATGTCCGTGACACCACCCACGCCCTCCACCTCCTCCACAACTTCGAATTCCCCGGTCGCAACACCTCATCTTTACCATGGATGTCCAGTCCCTCTACACCTGCATTCCCCATGCAGATGGCCTAAAGGCTCTCCGCTTCTTCCTGTCCCGCAGGCCCGACCAGTCCCCCTCCACAGACACCCTCATCCGCTTAGGTGAACTCGTCCTCACCCTCAACAACTTCTCTTTCAATTCCTCCCACTTCCTACAGACAAAGGGGGTAGCCATGGGTACCCGCATGGGCCCAAGCTA